TGTCAAGGGGATTCCTATTCAATTCTATCTCTTCTGACTCTCAGAACCAAATCTACTCCATGGGAGCTTTTGCCACTAGGCTATGCATCCTGTTCTTGTTGCGAAAATGGACTCTGCACCTTAGAGAAATATAATTTTCCAGCTTTTCCCCTAAGATCTTTAGCCACAGGCAGTCTTACTACAAGTCTTGTACGCTAGCGTTTCCTAGAATGTAAAGCACTGGAGGACCTATGTGAACCCCTGTGTCGGGTTGCTTGCTGGGCTCTGGGTCTGTTGCTTTTGTTGTTTTGTGCCACTCTCCTCTTGTTTCCTGGGATCTTGCGACACTGCTGACTTTTGATGATGTGTCCTCCTGCTCCTAGACTTCAAGTATGTGGCTCCTTGAGCTGGATCACACCCTCTCCCTCTTCCTCCCTCCCTGCTGTGACTACTCAAGTCTGTCTAGCACTACTCAAGTCTTTTCTTTTCCTTCATAACCATTACCATAATTATGGTTGAGGCCTTACTTCTGCGATTATCTGTTTAGTGGCCCCCTAGTCTGAAGTGGGGACTATATCTCCAGCACCTGTCCCAGACATGTCATAGACATTTATTTTTGTTGAATGAATGAGCCTACCCAATATGCCTCCTGCTCCCATCTTTCCACCAAAACGCCTTTTCCATGGTTACCAATTAACCCGAGTTGTAAACTCCATTAGACACTGATTTTCACCTTGATTTCTTGTCAGTATTAAACACTTGGTCACTTCCTCCTTAAAACACTGCCTTTTCCTGTTATGGCTTCACTTACTCTCCAGATCCTGCTGGTCTCTCTTCACTTTTCCTAGTTTGCCAATGTTGGATGTTCAGAACTTGGACCAGATTTTTCTCCCTAGACTATCTCATTCTCACTCACAGCTTTAAATAGTCTATACACCAGTGACTTCCCAATTTAATCTAGACCTTTTGAGCCTAGACTTTCCCAGACTCTGATATCAAGTGTGCCCTATATTACTTGATCATTTCACCTCGATATCTCATTGGGATCTGCTATAGTTTGGAGATTTGTCCCCTTAAACTTCATGTTGAAATTGTGGGGGAGTAGTGAGTTCCCAAAAGAGCCTGACAGCCCCTTTCCCCATCTGGCATCCTCTTTTTCATGCACTCTCTGCACACAAAGGAAGCAGCCTGAGGCCCTCATCAGAAGCCCAGCCAATGCCAGAGCCATGCTTCTTGTACAGCCTGCAGAACCAGGAGCCAGGCTGGGTGCCTGTGGCTCAAGTGGCTAAGGCGCCAGCCACATACACCTAAGGTGCTGGGTTCGAATCCAGCCTGGACCCCCCAAACAACGACAGCTACAACCAAAAAATAGCCGGGTGTTGTGGCAGGCACCTCCCAGCTACTGGGGAGGAGGAGGCAGGAGACTCGCTTGAGCCCAGGAGTTGGAGGTTGCTGTGAGCTGTGATGCCACAGCATTCTACCCAGGGAGACAGCTTAAGGCTCTGTCTTAAAAAAAAAAAAAAAAAAAAAAAAAGAACCAGAAGCCAAATAAACTTATTTTCTTTATAAATTAATTATAACAACACAAAATGGACAATGAAAGCATCTCAGACTTGGGCTATTCAAAATTACACGCACTATCTTTTCCCCCAAAAATGTTCTTCCTCCTCTAGTCTTGCCCATAACAGATAATAGCATCTCCAGCCATCTGGTTAGTCATGTCAGGAATCTGGGAGCAAACCGTTCCTACTACCTTTCAGCTCCCATAAGCCAATCTGTTACCAATGGAACCTACTTGTAAAATAAATCTTGGATCTCTCTATTCCACTCCACCTCCACTTGCATCATTTATCCAAGTCCAATTCACCTTTAGCTGGTCTCCTTACTTCCTTCCACTCTTCCTGTGCCACCAGCATTGCCACTGCTACTACCAAATGCCTCCCTTCCCTGGGTATTTCTAAACTAAAATTCCTGTTTTCTGACTCTTTTTCTAATCCTTTGTAGTACTTTCTTCTGGTTTTCCAACCTTCTAGTGCTTTTTTCTAGTGCTTTCATACTGGAAGGTATGTGAATAGTTCCTCAGAGTGTTCTCCATTAATCTCATCCTTTGCAAAGTTTTTACTAACTTAATTTTCATCAATAACCTTATCGATAACAAACAAGTTATGCAAGAAACCTTTTTTTTTGTTGTTTTTTGTTGCTTCAAAGGTTTGAGTAATTGAATGGCTGATAGCCTGATAATGAGAGCCAGAAGTAGAATTTTAGAACTGCTCTGACCTTTGGAAGACCAAAGACCACACTGATTTTTCTTGTTAGTGCACTATATAATCCAGACCTGTAATAACCCAGTATCTGTAATGGGTTAAAATCTCCCTTCTAGCTATGTTGCCCTAGAGGATATGTACCCTGTTGAGTTCATTTTTAAATTGCAAATAAATTTTCATAGTAGAAATTTCTCAACAACTTGTTAAGGCTTTATTCAGGGGAGAGAGCAACTCAAAGTGCTGTGCTGTTTGGAAAGTTGAGCAGAGGCCCAAAGAAATTGTGCCAAGCAGGCCACCAACAAAGGCAAAGCCAACATTTTACTGCTTACTCAGTAAAATGCCTAGAAAATCTGCTCCTCACCACTGCAAATGCTGAGCTCTTAGGAAAGTATCACAAGTTGTTTAAATACTATCACAACAACTTGCTTTTTTTAATTTTAAAAATGTATGTTTGTTAAGAATCCTTCTTGATTTACCTTTGTCTATAAAGAGTCCTAGTCATAGAATATATTTCTAGTTTTTTCTCCCACCCCTCCAAATATCTTTGCCCCCAGCCAACAACCTTCAAAACAATTGTTAATGTACCCATAAGAGGGCTTCATTGCTCTCACCACACAGAAAGCCAATTACCGAGATAATGAGGATTGTCAGGGAAACAAAAGGATTTATTACAGTGGCTGTGCCAACTGGGAGGTGGGCGGGAAGTACCCACTGCCTCAAATCTGACTTCCCAGTCAACAGGGTCAGGGGTTTTCCCCAGGTGAAATGAATAATGTGTGAGGGGCGTGAGCACCATTACATGTTTGGGGTGGAGTGCAGGGCATGCAAGCACAGTGAGAAATCATGTTAGTACATACATCCCATGGTTAAAAAATGCTGGATAAGTCTTTCCCAGGGTGGGGATTTTAGTATTACAGTGAGCTAGGGATTGATATTGGTAATTCTTTCAGCCTTCTGCACAGGCTGAGTGGGTCCTTGGGCACAATGTGTGGTGGGGTGTCACTTATCTTGTCATCTTTGGACAAACAGGTGGTATAAGACTCTGTAGTTACCTCATAGCTGCAAAGAGATTCCCTGTGTTTCTGGAAAAGAAACTCAAAAGTGCAACAGAAAGTTACAAAATTTGTTTGTTTTTCTTTTGAGACAGAGTCTCAAAGTTTTGGTCAGCAAATCTTACTGGTTTGGGAACTTGAAACATAAGAAAACTACAAACAAACTAAATATATATATATATATATTCTTGCTTATGGAGCTAGTTTCAAAGTGTTACTGCTCAGGAGGAAACAAATATCACTCCATGTGACCATTCTGTCATTATTTCAGGGACCTTTGCTTTGGCTCTAGTCGTTCTATTTTTGTAATTTAAAAGTGAAGAAGTGTCTGCTTCAAGTGGTCCCTCAGCAAGCTCTTCAGCTGTTCCTGGGGCCTTCTCCTGCAGTTCCACCCACTGGAAAGACATGCTTGGGAAACCCTACCGGTTAAAGAGAGGGAACTAGGTTTTAAATTCCCAGCCTAAGTGAGGGCAGGTGCTTCATCCCTTCAAGCACAACCTGCTCAGCAGCCAAGTGCAGGAGCTGCTGGAAGAACTGGCCAAGCACAGCTAAGTGCTGTGGGAAGTGTCTCTTAAGCAAGGAACCTGACTGACTCTGTAAGTACTCTCCTGCAAAAACCCATCTCACGGTATTGTTGTACCTGGTAACAGCCCCCTACCCTGCACCAACACACACACATTCAGCTTTTGGGTCCTCCACAGCTTGATCCATCTTCACCATCAAATCTGTTTTTGAGCTCCTATACTGTACAGAACACTTTACCAGGTTCTAGTTAAGAAATGAAGCCTTGCACTCAGTGGACTTCCAATGCATTTGGGGAAGGGGTGATTACTGTTGGAAGTAAAAGCCATGTCCCTATGTTGGAGCTAAGAGGATCAACAATGTGGCTGGAGGAAGAGAAGAGGCTGTACGGAATGAAACTCTGAGCTCTGCCCTCAAAGGAGGGAGGGGCCCTTATAGACTTGGTTCTGTAAAGAAAGCAACTCCCTCCCCAGAGGGTAAAATCTCATTGTGTTTGTCAGAGAATAGATTTAAAGAGAGGATTAAAGTTCTGAGCCAGGTGGGGTGGTTCACGCCTGTAATCCTAGCACTCTGAGAGGCCAAGGAGGGGTGGATCGCCCGAGCTCGGGAGTTCAACAGCAGCCTGAGCAAGAGCAAGACGCCGGTCTCTTTACACTGATGCATCAGGCCCACAGGATGTCGGATGAATTCATTCACTCTCAGTCGTGCCGGGACTAGGCCCTTTGCTGGAAGCTCGGGACGAGGGGCCAACACGAATGCTGTATCACTGCAGCGCCACTCGCAGCCTCAGCATTCTCATTGCTAATAAATAAATACAGACCCGGGGTCTCGTCTCAGACCGAGACTTACTGTATCTCAGCGTGGGTCCTGGGAACCTGTATTCTCAATAGCTCCTCACATTTCCCATCTCCCTGCTTCTGTAGCTAACCTCTGCAGGCTACTTTCAGGAAAGACAAAAACAGGACGCAGCAGACGGAGCGGATCACCGGCTTCGCCTCTAGCAGGCCCCCTGCCTTCGCCCTCCTCAGCCCCCCGGCTCGGGAGTAGGCAGGCAGCCCCGCCCCGCACTAGCCCCACCCCTCCGCTCTAGCCCCGCCCCAGCTGTCAGAAACCGGGACGCTCCGGCCCAGCCCGGCGCGCGCCGCCCAGCCCAGGCCCCGCCTCCCACCCCTTGCCCAGACCCTTGGCGGGGCTGTCACCAGAGGCTCTGCAGGTCTCGCAGCCTCCAGACTATACTAGGAGCGAAAGAGCGACATGGCGGCGGCTACCAAGCTCGAGAACCTCTCCCTGGTGGTGCATGGACCCGGGGACCTGCGCCTGGTAAAACGGGAAGAAGGGTGGGGAGTCCGCCCCACCCTGCCTTTCTCCGCTCAGAGCCCAGCCGCAGTCCCGGCTTCCCACTTCCAGCCTTCCTCGCCCCCGCACCTGGAGCGCCCTGGCTGCCCAGATGCCAGCTGGTTGCCCTGGGGGTTTGGGGGTGATGGTTGGCGTTTGTTGCTAAGGGGAGGGATCTTGTCGCGTGTCTCTCCGAACCTAGCCCCGTGGCTGGCACGTGGCCGGCGCCCGGGACAGTTGCACACTAATTGAAGCCTTCCCCCTCCTTTGCCAGCAGCAGATTCATAGTCCATATCCAGCCTGTTGGGTTTTTCAGAAAAAACACTAGAAAGACTGCCTGAATTAGGATCTGCCCTGAACTTCTCTGAGTAGACAGCGCGGGGGAGGGGATGGGGAAACAAATCACACTTAAAAACTGTGGAACTTCTGTAATCCCCCTTTCTTGGGACTGCTAACCACCCCCCCTTGAGAATTATTATGATTACAAGAATACTCATCACTTAGGAAGTGCTCAGAAAGTTCCAGCTCCTTCTCCTTTCCTTCCAGTCCAGGCCTCCATCTACAGAACTCCTGGTGCCTCTCTTGCTCGTGCCAGACTTCTGGATCTTGATGGTCCCCAAGTCTCAAGGGCTTCTTATCTCCTTATCTCCCTCAGTCCTGCCATTTTCCTTTCTGATCTCATGCCCCTGTCCCTTTAGGAACATTCTGTATTGTGTCTCCTCTGCCTCACTTCTGACCCTGTGTTTTGGTCCTTGGCTTCTGAAGCCAAAGTTTAAGAGCTGTTTAGTCAACCTTGTGGTTATGCTAAGGTTCCCTTGACAAAGTCCCTCTCAGATAGGCCTGGGATGGTGGCAGGTATGTGGGACCAGTGCCAGCCATGTCTGCTGCTCCCCTTCATCTCTGTCCTCTCAAAGAATGTGCATCAGGATCTAAAATACAGGAACTCAGATTATCTAGATTAGCATTTCTTCACTGTTTGAGAACTTGTGGTCTCTCTCCTCACAGAATGCAGACTGAGTTTGCAATTCAGATTGTTCAAGGACCCCCTATGAAGCCTTTAGGGGGTCTGGAGACCTCAGACTAAGAACCATTGCCCCAAGCCTGAAGAAAATGTCATATCCAAGGTGATAGGCTTGTTTAGTTACAGAGCAAAGACAGGAACTCAGAAGTTCAGGCTCCCATTATAGTGCTTTTTGCTCACCTTGGAGCCTCCACCTAAGGTCTTGAACTAAAGTGATACTGTTAGGACTTATTGCTACAAATACCAGATGGTATTACAAAGAAGGAAAAGTGGTATAGCTCTACACAGCTTACAGGGTGATTTCCAACTCAGTCATTTATTCCTTAAACATTTATAGATGAGAGGGTGCCTACTATGTGCCATGCTCTGGGCTGGGGGCTTGGAGTACAGAGAGGAGGAGGACAAAGGTCCTGCCCCCAAGCTCCCCAAGGGATACAGACAGAGTAAACAATTATGGCATAGTCTCAGGGCTTTGATAAGAAAGTCCCTGGTTAGGGCCTGCTGCATGTCATTCACCTAGTAAGTGGCAGAACTAGAATTAATTTCTGTTCTGCCATAACTCCTAAATTCATGTTCTTCCACTGCTCAGGCAGACTACCTCTATTCCTCTGTAGACAAAGCCTGGAAGACTAGAGGAGAGAGGAACTCACCTTAAAATTTATCTCATCAGCTTTGCATTAGAAGTCACTCTCTGACTAGATCGGGGGCTGGGACAGAGTGGCTGTATACTAAAGGATCTAGAAAATCTGATGGGTTAGAGAATTTCATTTGTGGTTGTGGGACTGGTACACTAACTGGGGAAATGTGTTCAGGGACGAATTCAGGAGAACTCCTAGGTTCAGTTTGAGAGTGGGAGGTGGGCGGGATCATTTATTTGACCAAGTAGGTTAAACTGATGAGACTGAGTTTTCAAATGTGCCTCTGGGACATTCCCTTGGGTCAGGGGTGTGGATTGCAGGAATGCTATGTGGACTGGAGGTGTAGATTTAGGAGTCCTTTGCTTCTCCACTGAGGAGCATTGCACCCATCCCCAAGGGGCATTGCCAATGTGGCAGGAAGGCTTGGTTGTCACTATGACTAAAGGACATAACTACAGACTTTTTAGTGCATAGCACTATCCTGGACATAAAGAGTTGTCCTGCCCCAAATAGTGCTCTCTTGGCAATTGTGAATAGCTAAGGTTGCCTAGACTGAGCTGAACCTGCGGAGTGAGAAGGAAGTCAAGAGTGAGGCCCTGCACTGGAGCAGGGGGCAGAAAGAGCTGTCAGCAGAGGTGATTCAGCATAGACCTTCTGGGCCCTGCCACTACTGCTACTCCTTCCCAGGCATTATCTTCCCCAGCACTTCCACAGGGACCCCCTAAGTAGGGTATTTCTGCACCTCCACCTCTTCCTTAAGGTGAACATAGTCTGTGGTTTGGGATTGAAGGTAAGTGCTACCTCAATCAGAGGCAACAGTAGAGAGAAAGAGTCCTGGAAAGCTTTGAGGAGAAACCGCCTATTCTCTCTGTGGGAAACGCAAATGAAAACCAGGATTTCCTGGGCCTGAAAGTTAGCACAGTATTGCATTTGGGAAGAAAAATAGGCTAGCCTGGATGTGAATTACAAAGAGAGAAGAGGGAAGAATTGAAATCTTTTCTTCTAATTTTTTAGACAGAGTCTCCTTAGTCATCCTGTGTTGAGTGCCTTTGGCGTCATAGCTCACAGCAACCTGAATGCCTGGCTTTTTGCTTTTTTCTTTTTTTAGAGATGGGAGTCTCACTCTTGCTCAGGCTGGTCTCCAATTCCTGTGCTTAGGCAATCCACTAGTCTCGGCCTCCCAGAGTGCTAGGATTATAGGTGTGAGCTTACATGCTGCCCATGCTGTCTTTGTTATAAGAGCACTCAATCAGATGGTGCCCATGCTCAGTGGGTAGGGTGTGGGCCACATATACCAAGGCAGGCAGGTTCGAACCTAGCCCAGGCCTGCTAAACAATGACAACTGCAACAAAAAAATGGCCAGGCTTTGTGGCAGGCGCCTGTAGTCCCAGCTACCTGGGAGGCTGAGGCAAGAGAATCGCGTAAGCCCAAGAGTTTGAGGTTGCTGTGAGCTATGACTCCACAGCATTCTACCGAGGGCAACACAGTAAGACTTTGTCAAAAAAAAGAAAGACCACCCAATCACAGATTAAAGACACTTTGGCTTCTGGCTAGGTGGGGGAATTGAAGCAAAGCAGGATGTGGCCCACTTAGGTGGCCAGGGAAATGCTGATAAAAATGGTCAGTGCCTCTGGAACTCCTGTGTAGGGAGTGGGAAAATTTAGGAATGGGGAAATTCCCATTCCTAAAATCTGAGGCAAGATTGAGGTTGCTGTGAGCTATAGGACGCCACAACATTCTATCCAGGGTGACAGAGTGAGGCTGTCTTAAATAAATAAAAATAAGGAGGCCCTCAGGGAGCTGACAGTATTTGCTGATGGGTGTTTGCTTCTTTCTGCATCAGCTTGGTCACTGTTCCCTCCAGCTCTCTTTAACTCTCAAACTTTCCCCTATTTAAAATGAGGGGCAAAGCAAAAGTCCTTAAAGCTTCTAAATTGGGAAGCAAGGACTCCACCCTTCCCCGTACTGCCTTCCTGCTTCATTCAGGTGAGGCCACGTACCAGCAAGCATCCAGGACAGTGTTTCTGTGGGAAAATGTAACCTGGTCCAGTTTGCTTGTCCCCTACCTGATAGGAAGAAAACCCAATAACATCCAGTCTCCCTCCTGCCCACAAAGAAGGCATGATTTTTTGCTTTCTCCATGCTATAGCTACAGGGCACAAAAAATTAAGCCTCTCCCCTACTAGGTAGTTAGTGATAACCTCTATCATAGCAAGAGGGGGAGCGTTTATAAATTGTTATAAATTGGGTGCGAAATCAGATACACATACACACAAAACAAAAATCTGAGCCTTAAGGACTTTTGCTTTCCCCCCCTCATTTTATTATTATTATTGTTGTTGTTCATTGTTGAGGATTCATTGAGGGTACACAGAACTAGGTTACATTGATTGCTTTTGTTAGATAAGGACCCTTTTATATTTGTGTCCTTCCCCCCAAAGGTATATCACAGCCCTTAAGCTCCATCCCTTCCCTCCTTCCCCCTCAGCTCTCCCCATCAAGTTTGGGAGTTAAAGGGAACTAGAGGGAACAGTGACCAAGTTGGTGCATAAAGAAGCAAACAGCTCACCAGCAAATATTGTCAGCTCCCTGAGCTCCTCTTTATTTTTATTTATTTTTCGAGACAGTCTCACTCTGTCACCCTGGGTAGAGTGCTGTAGCATCATCACAGCTCACAGCAACCTCAAACTCTTGATCTCAAGCGATCCCCATTGCCTCAGTCTCCTGAGTAGCTGGGACTATAGGCACCTGCCATGATGCCTGGCTAACTTTTCTATTTTTAGTAGAAATGGTGTCTCACTCTTGCTCAGACTGGTCTCAAACACCAGAGCTCAAGCCATTCACCACCTTGGCCTCCCAGAGTGCTAGGATTACACGCCTGAGTTACCATGCCCTAGCTACCATATTTGTTTTCAAATTCTTTTTTTGTAGTTTTTGGCTGGGGCCAGGTATGAACCCGCCACCTCTGGTATATGGAGCCGGCACCCTACTCCTTGAGCCACAGGCGCTGCCCTGCTACCACTGAGTTCTTTTTAAATGAAAATAGTAATAAGGTCATAAACAAGTTGGGGGGCCAGAGTAGAGTTTAGTCCCAGTTCTACTGCTGCTGGGACTCAGCAAATTACTTTCTGCTTTGACTTCCAGTGGAGGGGGGATGATAGTAGTACTCGTACACTGGCCGTGTGAGGAGTCGCTAAGGTGCAGCGGGGCATGCAGCACACACAGCTCATGGGAGTGCTACCTATAGAGTTAAGGAGGCCAGGGCCCATGAGAATCGAACACTGAAAGCATCTCAGGGTAAAAGAGATGGATAAAGACCAAGACCTTCAGGCTTAG